TTATGTAAGCTAAATAAAAACTATTAATATTTTTATTACATGTATCGATAAATTCTAAGGAGTGCAGTCTTTATTATTGAAGAGGAAATTTGAAACGTATCTTGTGGAAATTTACAATACATCAATATGTATCTGACACTATCAAAAGCCATTACTATTAGCAAAATATTATATAAGTTTTTAATAACACCGATGCAGCTTAAGCTGTTTTCTCACGATGAACTTGATTTTTATCTTTTTCTTTCTTAAATAACTTAGTCGTTTATTTATATATTCTAAATCAAACAAATTAAGTGCAAATCGATTAAGTATCGGAAATGTACTAACATTTCTGGTGCTCAATCAATATAAAAGTCTTGTGATAACTTTTACTGCAAAGTAAAAAGTATAACTTTCTCATTTTTGCACACAAAGTATTGTATATGTCGTATGTTTATACAATACTTTACACCGGTTTCCTTTCTTTAAAAGACAATGTCTAGTTGTTTCATATAATTTTATCTGTGTTTTTCTTCCTTGTTTTAGTGTTTCATTAATGTACTTTTTCTATGCTGGTTATTGGTCAATAGAAACTTACAATGTTACAATTAGGACATTCCTGACAACTTTAAAATCGTCTGTATGATGTCATTTCGAGATATGGGAAAGGAAATCTTGATGTCTGAGGTTGAGAAGTTTGTTGAGTATGAATGGGTGAATATGATGGCTGTTGAAGCAGTGTAGAATTTTGTTGATTTTGCAATGGGGATAATGACTGTCCGGGAGAATGTGAATGTAGATTTTGTGGATGAGAAAATGATAACGCATGATGACAAGGGGAAGTCTGTGAGTTTTGTACATTAGCTTGTGGTATATTCAAGTTGTTCGTAATGTTGATATTGTTTAGTATGTTGAGACTGTTAGATACGTTATTAGGGATTGTCAGATTGCTCGGAATACTGAGTGCGTTTGGAATATTTATGCTCGTTTGTAGATTAGGTGGAAGGGAAAGAGTAGCCGACGTAAGATAATGTACGCTGAAAGATGGACGGGGGGGCTAGTAAAGCCTCATACCTTCTTCGAATTTGACGATAAGAGGATCAACAGCTGGACTGCCAATAAAACTGCCTGCTTCACTGCTTCCTCTACCTTGATCAGACTCAGTACTACTACCATCATATTTTGTATCATCTGTTAGCAATTAAAGAGAAAAAGCTTGTAAGAAAATATTACAAAGTTATAACATATCGTAATTATAATAAAATCACAATTTATAAAGTATTCTAAAATCAAAATATGATAGTATGCTCTGTGGATTTATTTAATAAAAACTATGAAAACAAAAGTCTATGCACTTCATATTTCATTAATTTTTAGTTTCCATTAAAGAAGTAAATTTAATGAAATTCTGCATTTCCTTTTTTTCTAACAACAGTTTTTTTTTTATAACAACAGCTTGAATTTAAGATAAATCTAAAATAAAAATCTGCAATTGCTTCATACTCTCACCTTTCCTGTTTGTGTCCTAACACTCTTCTATTGCATACTGACATAATTTGGTTGTTTAATTTTGAAATACTCTATCTGATAACATAATAATCTTACCTTGACGATTAGACCATTCTTGGTTCATTGTTTTTGATGTTAAATCAAAATTTTTTACTGGATTAATAGGATCATTAGTAATTGTACGAGCATTCTTATGCATAAATGAACAATGTGGTTTTCTACAACCTCCAGGTTGTGTTTCCCAATAACATGGAATCGATTTGCGATTTTTCTATTTAAACAAATAAACATGGAACATTAATCAATTTTAACTTCCACCTAATGAATTATCTATTTTTAACATTTGATGCTTACTCTTAATTCCATATGCCTAAAGTTACAATGTTCATCAAAGCATTTACCCTGCTTCCAATATACGCACATTGTTTCGCAACCCAAAGCAGATGGTTCATGTCTAAATGGACAGTTATCACCCTACAAATAAAATTATAAATTAACAAAAGTGACAAACAATAACAAACAAAAAATATATCAAAAGTATAGTAGCAATAAAATATGTCAAAATATAGTAATAATAAAATAATGGAGAATCATGACTATTAATAGTTGCAGTGCTCATATATATTACAAATATACTGCAACTTAATATTATAATTCAAACATTTAACAGTTTTAGCATTGTTTCACATAATTTCCAACAATATATCATGAAAGTAAATGTACAGCTATTTGTACGTAGTAACAAATATCGCAGCTTTTAATTAATATTAAAATCATTAGCGACAAAAATTCGGACACAAAATAACCGATAGAAGTCAGATTTAAAAAGAACGAAGAACAAAGATTCGAAATAATCGTGAAATGAAGGGAAAAAACTTCGTGCAATATATAAATAACATGATTTATTAATTATTTTAAAACGAAGGATATCGTGGAGTCTGCCTCCAACATGGCCGATCTAACCTCGCGAATTCAATATATCAGAAACAATATGGAACAAATTTAACGAACATTTGGAATTTTGCCGTGATGATTGAACACAGTGAACACTTCATGCATTTTGTGTAGTACATACCTTTGTGCACGTTGAGTAATAGAAAAAATAACAGTCGGTATTCTTATGACTGTGCTCCATTTGCAAAAACCGATAGAAAGATGAGTGATCGTGTTCTTTACTGAAAAAGAGAAAATATTAAAAACTATTATCGCTATGAAATGTAACATTCCGTAGGAAAAAAAAAAGAGAAAGATTAAAGTAAAATGCATGTTACCACTTCGTGCGAAACATGATTACAGCTTATAATGTATCGTGCTCAACCGCCAGTTCCAATGTTATGGAAAATTAATTTGAATGTAAAAGTTTCGCAACCACAAATATTTGTACTGACGGGAATGACCTTTTTTTCACTATGTATCCCATATATATTCGTTACTTACGTGTGATGGCAGTGATTCCTCGGATGACTTCTTTTTTGCCCCTTCGCTTTGACCCACACACTAAATCAACTCGCACACAGATTCAAGTAAATAGTTCGACCGTGGCACTTGTCGCCCCTTTCGTTAGAGACGCTATTTGCTACAGATACGATGCCGTAAACGTCCGACAAAACACGAGAACGCACGATTGTTTACGCGCCTTTTTCAATTTGGTGAGTAATGTACAAAAATATTCAGCACGATACTTACTTGGTATTCAATACTGAAAAATCTGTCAAATTCAAATTTTACTACTTTATTTACATGCGTAAATTTGGAACAGATTTTTATAAATCGCAATACATTCGTTACGGTATGTATTTAAAGAAAAGAAATACAAAATATTACATTTCGCCAAGGAAACATCAAAAAATAATTTTTTCAAACTGCACTAAATTTACATCCAACTATTAAAAAATGTTAATATGTTAAAAAATGTTAGTGTATAAAATGATTAATAAATACATTTAGATTAATGTTTTACAATTTAAGTACATACTTAGTAGTAGTAATAATGTAATCATAAAGTGTATAATAAAGATATTACATATTTTATGATGTAATATTATATAATATTATATATTTTTATAAATAATTTTATAAATATATATTTTTAATGTTTAATGTAAAAATTCATCCTAAAATATTCATATAAAAAAACAAAACAAGCTTTCTTAAGAAATATATAATTTAATCAAATGAATAGAAAGAAAAATTCATCAAAATAAATATTTAGAGATTACTAAAACAATACTTTAAATTTTCTTTTTATTTCATTATAAAGATAATTTATATTCAATTTTTTGCATTTTTTGATGACATATATAGTTTAGAAACGATATACATTTTATATACAATAATAATACAATTATTTTCGCTAAAAGCATTTGCAAAAATCAAAGTACAATATCAATAAAGAGAAAGCATTTTAAACTAACATTTTTAACAAAAACATTTGATTAAATTATAAAATATAACAATGTAAATGTACAATATTTAAAAAGATTAAAATATTAATCTTTCTAAAATCTTAATCTTTCTAAAAATACGTATAGTAAGACAGTGAAACATTATAATTAAAATTTTGAATATTTCATTATAACTGTAAGAACATATCATCGTTAAACGTGATGCGAATATTTAAAACTTTCGCATTTAATTTTGTTGTATATTTAAGGTAGATAAGATATGTACATATAATTATAAATATACAGTCCATTCCACTATAATATATGTAGCATATTTTCATAATAGACTCAAATTTTGCTGTCTATATTTTTTGATCATGTCCCATTACATTTTAATTTATTATAATACAATAAAAATGATAAAAAATTCTTCAATCATCAAAATTTGTATATAAAACTTTAAATACAAAATTTTTAAAATATAACATTTAAAAAAGTAGGATAGAATATAGTAATGCGATAATGTAATGTCTAGATCTAATTGTTCAATAAGATCTATTTAAATTAAAAAAATATCATAGAACATGATCACGACTTTTATGTTCTATGTAAACGTAAAAAACGTATATTTATACATAAAAAAACTTCCAATATCTCACATTAATGTATATTAATTACAAAATTTTATTTCACATTTACTTTTTTAGAAAAATTAATCTTAATTTTAATAAAAGTGCCATAGTAGGAAAGACTATTTTCCTCTCTTTTTTTCTTAAACAAAACTTCACAATATAAAAAAAATATAAAAAAAATTTAATTAGCAATTGTCATTAATACGCTAATAAATTAGAAAAATACCTCACTGTTTTTTAACAAGAGAATTGGCCAGCAACCCATCCTGGAAACTAAATTTACTGCAATGAACAATGATGAAATATTAAGATATCACAACAATAGTGAGACGAAGTTATTAGTCTATTACAATACACTACTAATTTTGGTTTAATGTAGTTCAATACTTTTCATTTCCAAGATAAGATGGTAAATATCAATCAATGTATACTTTTAATTTAATGGAAATACAGGGAGTGATACAGGAAATAACATCGATTTTACAGTCTTATCAAAACATTCTAGATTATCACTGTATATTGTATATTATAGTCATTTCATTTTTATCACGTAATTATTTAAATCACTGAGTGTGTATCTATATGTACACACACACACACGCACACACACACACAGCATCACACGCGCGCGAACGTGCACACGCTCGCACGTACAATCTCTTCTCACTGATTTCAATCTAGACGATCTACTTGTAGGCTCAAACAATTTATCATTCAATATCCATTAATATCTCACATTTATTATCATATTCTTCCATTCAGTTAAAAGTTGCTTATGAAATTCGTCAGAACATTTACGATGAGGAGAACGAAAAGCATTGGTAAAAAATTTATATTCAATTCTTTGTTATCACTAGGTAACAACCACTGCTATAAAACCAAATATATATTGCAATAATTTGACTAGCATACTATAGTTTATGTATACGTATCTATATATGCAACAAATAATATGTATATGTTATATATATTATGTGATATATGTATATATATCACATACATATTATATATTATATTATGCGTGTGTACGTATGTGTGTGTAAGTGAATGTGTAACTGTGCAAATGTGTAGATGTGTAGATGTGTGTATGTGCAAATATTAACAATCTCGTATATACATCATTTTTTAATATATGTCGCATACATACGCTATCGCATACAATAAATACGAATGTAACTATTCATTTCATCAATCCTTTGTTTATTTGTTTCATTAGTGAAAATGCTAAATACTGACTACTATTGCCATTATTTATCGCCTTGTACTTGTTCATAGTGAAAAAAACCAATGTATTTCACATAAGTTATGTCTTATAGAATTGAATATTTTTTTAATGATTGCACTATTAAATAGCTGAAGGGCAGTTACTAGCATAAATGTTAGACAAAATAATGTAGGAAACGCGGAAGTGAACTCAGAAAAATATTGCTCGTAACATATAAATATATAACATATAAATATATTATTCATCTTCTCTTTATAAAATTTAAAAATCAGTTTAACATACTAGATTCGAATAATAATGAAAATCCAAGCGTTCCAATATGATATACTCTTCCTTGTCAAGTTAAATAGAGATGCTATGAAAACATATTAAATCAACTGTGTCAAGTTTCATTTTCATTTTACTTTTAAGTTAAAGAAAATTACTTGACAATTAATAAAATTATTATTAGAACTTATTCGAATTGCAACATTTGGAACAATCAAAACAACTGGTATGCTATCTCTTTGATGACCAAGATGCACGAGTACCACTGCCTGCATTATTTCCAATTATTCGATTTTGAAGCTCTGTTACTGTTTCTTGCAAAGCTCTCTTCTCTTTCAAAAGTAATTGTATGTCTTCTTGTGCTGCACTTAAATGAGATTTTATTACATTAGACTCTTCTTTTATACGTATTAATTTCGCATTTTCTTCTGATAATTTCTCCAAAGCATTAAGGCGACGCTGAAGCTGTTCATTATCTGATTTTAATTGTTTACTAGACTGTCTCAAAATACTTAATTCCATTTCGTGATTTATATTTTGGGCTATTTGAGTATCACTGTTTGTGAGTGTTTCAATGGAATTACTCCTGCTCAAGTTTACTAGAAATAAAATATCTCAATTAGATTAATAATAGGAATATGTGGAAAAATACTTTATAGTAATCTATAAAACACATAAAAATGTTATGCGTCTAATGAAAAATTGCTTTTAACAAATTGGAAAATTAAATATTTTTTATTGAATATATATATGGTGACTAAATAATATATTTTATATTATCTAAACTATTTGTGAATATAATAAGCAGTGTTATAAACCAATGTAACATTTTGTATCTGGATGTTGTATGAATGTTGTTCACTCATGCTAATTCATAAACTGCATACATTTTAAACAATTTTTATAAGCGCACGTGATAATAAGCGAAAATTATTTTCTTTTGATTTGAAAAAAAAAATAAAACATGCCTAATTAAATACAAATCTAAAATTCTATTATCTTATTAAACGATATTATTAAAGCAATAAATGCTACTACTATTTTTCTAATTGTTTTGTATAAATGCTCACATTAGAAAGGCCATCTGAATGCACAGAATAATTATACAATGTATAATATTAATTTTAAAAAAATAAATAAAAGAATTTGCCACTTAAATGTACTTTAAAAACCTATTATATCAAAGACTAATCTCTACTATAACTAACTATATTAAAAATTATATTTTCCTCTTATAAAAATAATAAGTGGCGAATAATAATAACAGAACTTCATTTTAAATTATTACCTACCAACTGGTTCAATATGAAAAACTCCATTTGCATCTCGTACTACCTTAAGCTTTGCAATATTTAAATCTATAGGAATTGGTCCTGGCGAAGTTATATTATTCGGAGGACGATCTTCATTTAAACGCAATGATATACTCTCCAAATATATCTGCAATAAAAAAAAATGATAAAAATATAACTAAAAGTAAAAATAATAAATAAATAAATAAATAATATGATAAAATTTAACATACTTGCAATGGTATTGGCCTAGGTATAATTTCATCTTCAGTTAAGTCAGTAAGCCCACTTATTGAACTCATAGACAAGGACATTGATATATTAGTAACTTTAACTTCTAACTTGTCTTCAAATAAATCCAAAACACTTTGTCTGTTATGTACATCAACACTAGAAACATCTATCTCTTCCTCAGTTGCATTATCTTGATTTTGATTTTGATTTCGAGATAAATGCTTATTACTTATAGTTTGACTTGCTTGAGACAATTTCCAAGAATCTGACTTGCATTTCAAATCATGATCCAAACGTAGTTTAATACATGATCTACAGTTAGAATCTGAAGGTAATTCAACCCAACCTCGAGATCGTGCACTGAATTTTGTCTAATAAAAAAACAAAAAATATTAAAAACTATATGTATGACATTGAAATCATATCACAGTTGCTACTATGTAACTAAGAATATGGATAAGAATAAAGGATAAAGAATATTCTCTTATCCTTTAATAAATTCATAACACTTTAAAACTAAACTATAAATATGAAATTATAGAAAATAAATCATTCAGAATAAATTATTATTTGCATATGTTAAGTAGTAAGAACAATTTCTTAATATTAGCTTTTTTATAAGCAGACTCTATTTTTATGGTATGTAATATGTAACATTTAAATAAAAATATTCCAATTCTTAATTTTTTGCCACATTAATATGTGATAAATTAAAAAACGTTTACATAAAAAGCTATGAGAATTTATTTTATAGGCGAGATAATTTCATTTCCTTATAATTTATATAAAATACATATAATTGTAATTGTGTTTGAAAGCTTCTCAAATACATTCCAGCTAAGCATTATTTCATACCATGCTACACGAAGTTATCATACTTTGAGTACACATACTATGAAATTAAAAACTAAAAAGCTCTAAATCCTTCATATAAAACTAAAAATGTATACTTTTGAAATGTTTATAATTTGTTTGTTTATACAAATAGAAAAATAATAAAATATTTACTGCTAATTATGCAACTTAATAATTTAATTTGCACGAACTTGCACGTCATTGTCATATACTCTACAAATTTATCATTTATATTTCAATAATTTAAAAAACTACAAATTATCACCTATACTTTTTTTAAACGATTAATAAGAAATTTATATATATGCAATTTGTACAGTATAGTGACATAATTAATTCAAAAGAAATAAACATGCAATAAAATGTATACAATACAAGGCATTTAATACAAGATATATGAGTACTTTGCCAATACCTTTCTCTTGACCTGCCACAAGTGCCACATAAAAACATTCACAAGAGAAGGAGAGACGCAGGAGAAGCATGCAAAAAAGTTAAAGACAAACATTGTATAAATATACATATATAGTATAAAAATGTTTGTAATGTATGTGATATAAAGCTAGAAATAAAATTAAAAAAGTTTTGTGACACACGAAATATGTAACTAGGAATAAAATGTTAGTCATCAATACATTCCAAATTTATATAAAAAAATCATATATTATCTGAATAAGATATTGTATAACTATTTTAATATATTCTTAATAAATTGTAACATAATAGATATTTTCTCTATAAATATTTTCTCTATAAATGATTAAATCTGTATTAAATCAGAAATATAAGTCTGTACACAATAAAAAGCACTTTATACAGTGTATAAAAAAAAAGTTAAAATTTCCTAATAAAATCATTATATGAAAAAAATACTAAAGAACAATATAATTTTGATTGCAGCAATATTCAAAAAAATTTCAATATTTAAACCTATTTAATATATAATTTAAATAGATTCAAAATAGCATATTGTATGTAATCAGCAAACAAGAAATTTATAATTTACGTAAATAGAACATAATCTTACCTGAAATTCATCCCATGGAATAGATGAACATTCGTCGTTACCAATATTTGAAATTTGAACTTTGATAGAAGATGCATACCCAAGGGATTGTTGAATAAATTCAACTTTAGATAACTTAAATGTTGTCATAGATACCTAAAAAGGATTTTATCTAATCAAGATATTGAAGTCTTCAATTATGTTACATTATAAAACATAGACTTACAATATCTTTTCGTTTACACACACTATCCATAGATTTTTCACTCTGAGTATCAGGAGTTTCTTCCACTACTTCACTAGCTTCTTCTACTGCTGTTATTCTAATTGAATTATCAACAGAAAACATTGCATCTAATTTTTCTTGATCTTGAAGATTAATTAAAACATAGTTTTCACTATCAGAGCTAACATCGCTTCTTATAGACATAGTATCACTACTACCATCTTCTGGAGACGCTTTCAAAGCTGAATCAATAGATGTCATTAAGTTACTTAATCCCTTTTTCATAGAAAAAAGACCAACATTGAAATTATTGGAAATGAACGGTGTATTTGAAGATGAATCTCCCTTGCTGTGCTTATGTGTAATATCAGCAGCATATCGTAAAGTAGGCAATGCTTTCTCCTCTTCTACACCAATGCACTGTTTATCATACGTAACATTTCTTATTTGCGTATTATTTTCATGTTTATTCGTACCATTTTGTTTAAATGTCACGACAGTTTGAGGTGTATTAGAATGCATAAAATCCATTGACAACATTGATGATATATCACTCTGCGGCGTTATTGTTTCATTATTTATATTAATCTTTTTACCACTACTCTCAACTCGTTCTGTATTTTGCCATGGAATAGATGAACCTGGAATGTCATCTGCTATGCTAGACGAATCTGGCATAACAGATTCCAAATCTGCTCCAGAATTTTCTTTACCAGGGGTATGCGACGGCATGACGAATGTTACTTCTACTTGCGGTATTAATGCACCAATAACGAGTGAACTACCGCAATCGATCTTCAATATTTTATTAGAATCGATATTTAGATACGTTGCCATTTCTGATAGAACTTCCGATAATCTTAACAAGAACAAATATTGATAATGATTTATCTGAATGCTAACTAAATTGCTTATGTACGCAAGACCATGAATGTCAGCGGTAGATTTATTTTCTGACGATTCTTTCTCTGACGATTTCATAGATATGTAACACCATAAAGTCAAAGGAAATGCATCAAGGAACGGTACAGGACGATTTTGTCCGACCGCGCGAGCACCGAGAAAATCTCCCCAAACGGGTTCCAAATTACAACACCATATGTCTTTAGTTTCGGTCCACAAAAGCTCCCGATGTAATTGACGAACTAATTCGTTTACAGAGTTACTACTAAAATTAGGTGGTGGATGACGAATATTATCAGTGCCTATAATAAATAATAAATAAATAAATAGTGAAATGCTTGCATAAAACTATATAGAAATAAAGTAAACACATATTGCAATAAAATTACCTGCACAATGTGCCAAAAATTTATCTGTAAGAACATGAAAATCATTCAATCTGTTTGGAAAATCTGTAGTAAAAAACATTTGACCCATTTGAAAAGCATTTACACATTGTGCTAAATCTGCTCTCGAAGATCTTTCTGTGGATCGAACATTTGTTATCGATGCTCTCGACGTTTGTACGTGCAAAGACTTTGGCCTATCTTTCTGATTAGGATAATCTTGTTGACTTTCAAAAACTATCTGAAAGTAACAATTATATTGTGAATGTAATAGTTGGAATTTTAAATTTATAACATAAATATCTCAGTATATACCCTTGGAAGTATAGCTTCGATCTTCACGTCAAAATACATTAAATTAGTAGAAGTATACGTTGGTTGTTTATCCTTATTCATTAGAGAATGATATAAATTTAATGCAAAAGAATTAAACCATAAGCAGGAACAGACGTCAAAATTTACTTGGATAGGATTCAGTTGTACATAAAATTTTGGAGGTGGCACTAAACATTTACAGATGAAATTGTAGATTAATTTATTCAAATTAAAATGATAATGCAATAATTATGTTTACTTACATGGAAATGTAATATCTCCAGGATAGTAATAATATGTAAATTCAGCATGAACAATTGTAACATCTTCTGGAAGACAAAACTTGTCTCTGTCACCTAAGCAACATAAAAATATTTCAATAAAATGTAATAGAAGTGTAAATATATTCTCCAATAATATACATGCGTTATGAATATACTCCATACAATAATAAAAATTCACATAGTGTTATATGTTACATATTACAAAATGCAAATCATAATGATTGTATGAAGTATTACAATTTATATGTATCTACACAACATAGTCCTTAGGACCTGTAAAATAAATACTTTTCATCATAAGTCCTTTTAAAAGATACAAATCTTTTCATCATAAGTCCTTTTAAAAGATACGACAGCTTTCTTGTAACGCTACAACAAATTATAGTTTCTTTTTTACATGGTTCGTTTTTAATTTTTTTCACAAACTGCAAAATATAACATATATAAAATATTATTGAATATTAATTACAACAATAGAACTGTATCTTTTAAAAAAACATTTAAAAAATTTTACTTAAGATATCTGCTTTACAAAAGCAAATTATACTATGGTTATATTTTAACTGTATAATAATTATGCTTCAAATTAATTGTACATATGTTATTAAATATTCACATGTCTAGAACTGTTGTTATAAATGTTTTGTACCAAGTTAAAAATTAACGCTCGATCATGTAATAGATACGAGATATAATAGCAACATAACACACGAAGCAACAAAATTTCTCAAACATGAAACTATATTTAAGTGGCACTTATAACGATTAATAACGATATTAATATGAATGTACTACTTATAATGATTAATAACGATATTAATATGAATATACTACTACTGTTTTTAATCTGTACCTGATGCATGTTTCTTCCTTGTTTGAGCTGTGCAATTATTAAACGAAATAATTATTGGTTTTATATGGGAGCTTCATATGAAAGATAATTTTAAAAAATAAACCTATTAAATAAATTGATCATTGCGAAATTTACACATACCCGTAACAAATTCTTTAGGTACAGGATTACGAGACGTTGTGGTTACTTTGTATAACGTAAAATCATCGATCCTTATTATAATGCACGTCGTCATTAATTTAGCAAGTTGTTCCAAAATGTAATTTTTTACTGGATTTCCACTAGGATGTTGCGATTTTTTTTTCTCATCAGCAGCTGTATTTACATTTTGTGATTGATTACCCTTTTCCAAATTATCTCCTAAACCTTTTGTATTATTAACTGAATAAAAATAATAAAAAATATTCTGTTAACAACTAACTAAAAACTACATTTGGATTGTTTACTTTTTGTTGTTTACTTTTTAAATTGATTGTTTACTTTTTAAATTATACGAACCCGTAATATTTCCTTGACTTCTGGTTAAAGGAGAATGCTGTGTTCTACCAGAATCTATAAGATCCATAAACTGACTTCGAAAAGAACTTAACGACTGCTGCAACCATTGACTATGAGGCGTAGCATTTTCTTTATACTTAGCCCAATGTTTTCTATCAGCCATTGCTAAGTGATATGGATAATAATCAACTTGAAATCTAACTAGTGAAATTTGCAATGCACCACCATCCTTTAAGTCAGGATGAGAAGATCTACCATCTGGAAAATAAATAATATAGAAAATAAATAATATTAGAAGCATTATTGTCGTTGTTGTTGTTATTATATTTATTATGTTATTCTAATTAAGAATTTGAACATACTCACTACCAGCATCATCACATAAATGTAAATCAATTCTTTGACAAAGGAAATGATATGAAGTTTCTACAACATCATATCTGGTAAAGATTTTAGAAATAGCAGTATTACACTGATTTTTTGTCCTTGATTGTTGAGATATTTGTGCTTGATATTCCGGCAATACCTGAAATGACCATAAAAATGATTTTATTTCTTTTTCTTTTTTTCTTTAATTGTATATTTACAAACCTCTAATTTTCTAGCTGCTTTGGTTTTACGTTCTAATATTGTAGCTTTTTCTATCAGACCACCTAAAGAGTCAATAAAATGAAGTGCTGCCTTCAGTTGCGAATCTGTTAAAACCCATAACAGGTCATCTAATATAAGAATCAGTCTTGATCCCATAACAAAACAATCTAAAATACAAATTCATATATTTCTATCTTTTGAAAAGGAAAAGAATAGCATGCATATTTGTTATGTATTAAAATATTTTATAACCTGATATTCTTTTCTTAATAGTAATCCGACATCTAGCTTGATTTGTAAGTAAACGTAATGGTGTAAGGTTTTTATCTTTAGTACTTTGTGCCTCTATTCTAACTGTTTGCCACTCCAATTCTTTAAAAATAAGTAACTGTCCACGATCAGGATCTTTTACTCTAGTAGTTCTTAGATCACACCGTTGCCATGTTGCAGATTTGGATTCTACAATAATGCGATTCATCTGTAACGAGATAATAATTTACAGTAGATTTAACAAAACTAATTACATTGCCAATCAACCAATCACATTACATACTTGAACTGAAGCAATGAATGCAGGGCTTTTGAATGTAACCGATACAGTATTAACAGTTACTGTTATGCCATCAATTACTTTATGTATAAAAGAATATTTTGCAGGACCAGTATAAGAAGATAGCCCTTGAGAAGATGATAAATTTCTTAAATCTTCGCATGTTTCTACTTCTATGTGAACTTCGTCCAAACTCTATAAATATTAAAATCTAATCAAAATGTTAATATAATATATTGTTAATTGTATAATATTAATAAAAATTATGTTGTCACATAAAGAATAAATATGTATAAATATATATATATATATA